TAATTCCACAATTTTAACAAAAGAACAATCCACAAAAAAACGTAAAATTAAAGAAAGCGCACTAATTTTACTAAATCAAAATAATTGTGTTGCTTTATATTCATTTAATTTAAGTCATACATTTTACCTATGTTAAAATCTGAAGTAAACCAGAGAAACATACACCCAAATTAAATTTACACCAAAATTATTAATTAACATTACCTTTATTAATTTAAACAATGAGATTAAGTCAAAGTCACATAACTGACAATTTGCACAGACGAATTATCAGAACGAATTTTCATATATTGTATTGTATTGTTATCCTACTATTGTTACACAATTTATTAGCATACTCTTTTTTAGGTTCAATTAGGTTCTTTTGATAACGATAGCGGAAAATAGCTATCGGAACGTCAAGGTAATTTTTCAAATTAATTTCTCTACTAATTGGAATTTTCTCTTACAGCTTGAGCCTAAGTGTGTCGCAGGATTCCCTCTAGGTGATACTTTTTGATAAATAATTCGTTCTTATTGCGAAATAGGAGCACTATTTATCAATCTGTAATAAAAGACGTGAGGAAATCCTATCATTTTAAACACAAAAAATTTTGAGGCGAAATACCCAAAAAGAAGTTTGTAAAAAAATTAAAACTTTAGCACACGCAATTTCCAAATATGGATTTGAACAATGTTCAGTTAAGCACCTACAACTCTACCAATGATGAATCGGTTCATCGAGCTGAAAAAATCAGTTCGGACCTACGGGTTTGGGACAAAAACATGAAAAATAACGCCATTCAAATTAATTATCGTTAATGATCGCGGCTGTTTGGTTGGGAGCGTGTTAAAAATACTGTTCCCAAATATTCCAGGTTCCAGCGATGGTGGTGAACTATTTTGGAAACCCGGATCTGGACTGGAACTATCAAACCGAACCGGAACCGGTAGCTTGCCAAGGCTTCCCCGAAAAGAGATGCACTTGGCCAAGAGGAAAAGTTCTCGGAGGATGCAGCGTAATCAACGGAATGATGTATACTAGAGGCACGCCAAGAGATTACGAAAAATGGGTCCAGGCCGACAACCCTGGATGGAGCTACGAAGATGTGCTGCCGATCTTCAAAAGATTCGAGGATAACCAGGACATCGGCAGCTTCGTCGAGGCGAAATATCATGGAGTGAACGGGCCGTTGACTACGTCCAGGTTCCGCCATCAACCCCAATTGGCCTTCGATGTTTTAAGAGCCGCAGAAGAAATCGGCCAGAATGTTACCGATGACCTGAATGGGGAGAAATACATGGGGTTTTCCATTGCACAGTCCAATACACGGTAGGTCGTTTTCAGCAACTTTGTCTGCTCTTTATACTGTTCCTCATTAACCGGCTTGGTCATGCGGGATAATTTCCATATAAACCGGGTTCATCCGCCTGTTTGATTTAATTATTTAATTAGAACATCCTTCTGCCGATTTTTCAGCAAAGGCCCGAGCTGTTTTTATTAAATTCTCAAGTAGCCACCGAACAAATTGTTGCCTTTGAGCTCTGCTGGCCGCCGAGCGCTTTGTTTCCATGAAGCTGACACTTCTTTAACGAAATTGGGATCACTTGGGTTTCCCGGTCTGTACATTCAAAAGGAGTTTGAGCAAAAGTGGCTTTGTGAAACAGCAACCGAGTCGGAAACAAAGGGGAATCTTGATGATATTGGCCAAGTTTTCAACAAAGTTTAGCGATCCAAAACAGGCCAAGCTTGCAAAGCAAAACAGCTTGCCAAGTGTTTTCTGTAAAAATACCCATCTGATTTAATAAGAACCCGGTGATTGATGTCCAGGTGTTTGTTTATGTTGATTTAGGAGGATTCACTTTGAAAGCCGCCTTTTTTGCTGTCGTTTGACCACAATTGCTTAGCTTTGATCATCAAAGTGTTTGTTTATGTTAATTTAGGAGGATTCACTTTGAAAGCCGCCTTTTTTGCTGTCGTTTGACCACAATTGCTTAGCTTTGATCATCAAAGTGTTTGTTTATGTTAATTTAGGAGGATTCACTTTGAAAGCCGCCTTTTTTGCTGTCGTTTGACCACAATTGCTTAGCTTTGATCATCAAAGTGTTTGTTTATGTTGATTTAGGAGGATTCACTTTGAAAGCCGCCTTTTTTGCTGTCGTT